AATGAATGAATGAATGAATGAATGAATGAATGAATGAATGAATGAATGAATGAATGTATTTACACACATATATTATATGACACAGAAAAACCACACAATCTAGATTTTAGATACATGTACACGGTGAGAAAAATGAATCTTGCAAGTTTAGCAGACGGATGGCATAGGAAACACAGCTGTTACAAAATCTGGTTGTCCTGCTAGAAAAAAAAAGAAAAACATAAAATCTTCAGAAAAAGTAGAGGTACAATATCTAGTAACCATTATTACTATTCAGTGTTTATCTTATATTTTGCCATCCCCAAGCAGTATAATTTGACTTTCTCTAGAGTTAAATTGAATTGAATCCTGTATACAATATTAACAAATGGCATGCCATTAAATTCTCATCACTACAACTTGTTTTTAATCAAATAGGATGCATTCTGAAATCTATAGGATGCTTTCTTTAGAGCTGTAGCATGTATATACTTTATCAGTGGTGGGTTCCGGATCCCGTTCCAACCAGTACAGTTGGAAAGGAGCCTGGCATGTGTCGTACCTGCCTGTGATGCCTCCGCATGCCTCTGCGACGCTCCAGATGCTCGGTGGAGCGTCGCACAGGTGCTGTACACGCCATGTGTGTGCCCGGAAGTTCCAAAGGCTTAAAGGACAGGTAAGGAGCTTTGGTGGGCAGGTGGGCCCTCCAGAGCACTGTATCAGAACGATACCCAGTGCTCTGGGCAGGTTCCGGTATGCCCGTACTGGGGCATACCACCTGCAACCCACCATTGTACTCTATGTACTAAATATGTGTGCAAAGCAAATAGAGAGAATACTGAGGTTTAGTTGAAATTGTGGGGAGGGGGAGTGGAAAGGTATCAACATAGAACTAGATCAGTCCTATAATTAATTTCTCTCCCTTTCTTTCTTTTATCATTGCTAGTATTTCGTATTACTAACATGTAAATGTATATTTTATCTAGGAAATGTCTCAGGAAGGCTATGGAACTAGGTCTCAACCCCCAGTCACCCAGAACAAACCTAACCATGAAGAACTGACCTTAATCCAACAAGAGAGGCCTTCAAGTTTACCAGTAAGAAATTTGTTGTCATTTGATAGTTTCATACTTTACATTGAAAATAATATTTTCTAGTAAAACTTACATTTAATGTTTTTTCAAGAGCTCCAATATCAGAATTATCCTTGGATTTTATTTACATGCATGTATTTATTGTGAAATTAATTACCAAAGAAAGCTAGTTATTTTTATGCTATGTTTAAATATATTATAATATTTATATAATAAATATTGGATAATATTTAAATAATAATAAATGCTTAAATCATTTTAATTATGTCAGAATAATAATCCTTTCTGAGGTGCTTATGGATACTGTTGAATTTTATAATCCAGAAAAGTATAAAACTATATTAATATTAAACATTTATGCTTTAAAACAAAATATAATTTTATAAAATGTTCTGCTATATATTTTATATCTCAAACAGTCATTGCTTGGGTTTAGTGCTTCTCTTAATACATTTTAGTGAATGAATCTCAGATACAGATCATTATTGTGGATATGTACAAACCATGTTTTTCACGCTATGACAGCATGACCTAATTATTTTGTAGTGTATCATGTCAGCATATCATATCCAAGCAATATTGAAAACATGAAAAAGTGGGATAAAAAACCACTTTTTTAATGTTCTTGTCACCTCTTAATTACAATATTAATTTTGCTGAATGTATTTGAATGTGACCAGCAATATAGTTCAAAATTTACATAATTTTAAAACAATATATGATTGAATCCATATTAGAGTTATTCAGAAAAGTACAATGGTAATGATGATGAAATTTGGAAAATGTAATATACTAATAATAGTAAACTAACATTGTAATCCAAAGAGTTTGCTTATGGCTGCATTGTAGAAACACATATTAGAACTAATACCATTGATTAAAAAGAAAGGCTCATTAAACTTGTTGGGATTTATATGGGATTTATATGGATGTCAAAATGTTTAAAATTAAATTCAAGTCTATAAGAGCAACCCACTGAGAGTGTTCATGTGTTTAATAGTTATATTTAGTTCTTTTAAGAATAGCATTGTTTTCAAAATAGTATAATATTAGTAATGCTTTGGAGAAGACAATAAACATCCCTGCTTACCAAAAATCAGGATTTCTATAGATATTTACTTTTTTTTTTTCGTTTTCTATACTTTATTAATAACAGTGTCTTGATAGTAAATTTGCACGTTCAGTCTCCAAAATCTTCTATGGCTAATATCCTCCTATAAGAAATTAGACTTTCATCTTTCAGGTTGATGAAGACTCTTTCCATATTGAAACTTTATCAAGGCATTTAAGTAGAGGATTATTATCTTTATCAAGTACATTTTGATTTTTATTTCTTTGAGACTAATTTGTAATTATATTCCGACAAAGACAAATGGCTATCAAAAACTTCCAGTGTTGGGGCATTCACAACTTCTGGAGGCAAGCTGTTCCACTGATTAATTGTTCTAACTGTCAGGACATTTTTCCTCAGTTCTAAGTTACTTCACTCCTTGATTAGTTTCCATCCATTGCTTCTTGTTCTACCCTCAGATGCCTTGGAGAATAGTTTGA